GGCCATCCAGTGCTTCCAGGTTTTCAAGGGTGGTCTAACATTGATCGGTTCACAATCTTAATAAAAGCAAATATAACCTTCCGAGTATTCCATTATATTCCACTGAATTTCCTGTATGGTTTGAGCATACAAATTGGATTTTTTATACCTAGAAGCAATTTGTACATCTCTTTACTTCGGCCATCAACACAACGAGTACTAGACTTGATTACAAACAATTCGCTAATGTCCATTTCAAGTTTCCTTTTGCTTCATTCTCTTGCACAGCCGCAACATTGCTATCTCAACTCTTATGCAACTGTCCCTAGTATTTTCTTATCAGAACCCCGTCAGTTCTCTCACTAGACATTATGTAATATGTCAACCACATAACTGCATATTTCAAATTATTTTACTAATCAATGCGTTTGAATATTACTTACTTCATCCATTTTATCTTTTAATTACTTCTTCATTCATTCATAATTATTTTCATAAACTCTTGAATTTCCTTATTGTCTTATCCACAACTACTTGACCGTCACCAGTTTTATTTTCATTGTAAAACACATAACCGTCAGTGTATAGCCTTAATGAAAAACTGGCTGGAAAAAAATATTTCTTCTCTCTAATGTTTTTCCAAGTGGGTATTTTAGTTTTAGTGAGACCACAAAAGTGTCCGCTGAATTTTTGGATACTTAACTGAATTCTCATCGTTAGTTATAATATTCATAGTTACACTGCAAAAGTTTGTATTCGCTGTAATGGTTCTTAATATAGCCAAATTTAAATGCAAATAAGGTACGAGAAATTTGACAAGCAACAACACCAATGCAATATGACATCAAGAGAACTGGGAAAACTTTTATACGGCTTGACCGACGTTTGTTTCCATCCTCGATAACCAGTTAGACTCGTCTATCTAAGCTTTTATAAACTATATAGCTGAATTAAGTATTTAACGCTGATAGAAATAGATATTCATAAGAGCATAATTTATGTATCAGCATTTTATGACGTGTAGCTTGCGCAAGTATGCATTCTGTAAGTCTGTTTGATTATTTTCTTACTGTATTCTGCTTTAATAAGGAATATCTTATTTTCCTTATCTCTCGATATTTGACTTTGTTTCTTTTCTCAAAAGTTGTTTTGATATAGTTCGATCTCATCCGCCTATAACTGCTATAGATTTTGTTGAAATTGCGTTCTTTGAGCACGGTGGTTTAAGGATAAAAAATTAAACGATATAATTCTCTTGAGCGACTCCTTTAGTTATTAGTCATGATTATACATTTGATAAAGTGAAAACAGGGAAGTTGTATATTGAAAAAAATCCATTTGTTTGGTTTTTGTTATCTAGTTTCTTCAAGATCATATTGTTAAACTTCTAGAGAAATTTCCATCAACACAAAAACCTATCAGATCCGCAGCACGACGCTTTTTAAACTTGTTGAAAGAGAACAATCGTAAATCTGGGTGAGTTGAATAATTTCGCACATACTATTATGATTTGATATAAATTGGTCACTTGCGATTTTATAATTAAAGAAATTCTAAATATTGACTGACAACTACTAGGCTAGAGATTGTCTTCATTAAAACTTCATCCATTTTCTCAATGTAACCAGTAATCTCCATCAATTTTATGTAATTTGTAGATTGTAACTTATTTTAAAAAAACACCTGCCTAAGACTCCTGATTTACAAAGGTCACTGTTAATACTGCCGTTTAGCTAGCAAGCCACTTTGATTGTATCGGCGTCTATTTATCTTATTTGTATCCCAAAAATTGACTGTACCAACTGTCGGGATGGCTTCAAGAAGCACGACGAAGCCTCCAGAGACTCTAAAGAAGCCGAAGAGATTCCATTCAATCGGAACCTGATAGTCTCGTAAAACACCAACGTGGCATGCTATAATTGGATAACACAACTACTTCTAGATTGGCTGAATTATAATGTCACAGTCCATACTAATAGCTATAAATACTCATTTTTGTTTGTACATTTTTGATTCTTACCCAATAATCACTTCCCCTACTTCATCCATCTTCTGATTTGCGACGGTGGTGTTCTACACGTTCAAGTGAGTGCCGTTAGTTGTATATCGTATTCTGTCGTAACCAAGCAGAGGACATCAATGCTGTTTCATTTTTCACAGTTCTTTTTTTTCCTTATTCTGAATCCCGAAGTATATGATATCCATCATTCTTTTCTGATTTTTTGTTAAAGCATATTTAATGAATCTGAAAGTCGACAAGAAAAATTACGTCTTAAAATGGAACGCAAGAAACAACGTCAACAAAAGCGTAAAGAAAAAGCCTTAATGAAAAGGAAACCGGAGAATAAAGCAACTGAACCAAAACGAAATGAAGTCAACGCAAAAAAGAAATCTCTTAAGAATAACGCTAATAAATCTAAGTCAACGATTAAAACAGTGCCTTCACCAAAGGACAGCCAAAAAGTGCGTGTTCTGAAACGAAAACGTCAACCAGATATCAAAAATGGCAATAAAAAGAGAAAAGTTACTGAGGATTAAATATTATGAGATTGAGAAAAAATTGTAAATATATATTTTTCAGTGTATGCTTCCACATTTTTCATTTGAAGTAGTATGATCATCATAAACAGATACAACAATAGACAGGTGAATTTGCAAAGATTTCGTAGAATTACCATTATGTAACGGTATCGGCCGGTCGATTACCATTTCTAATAGTGAAATATAGGTCAACCATTCATGTAGAGTCTAGATTTCGACGACATACATACCACTAATGGATGTCACTAAACGAAGTCTATCTCCATCAAGATTGTCAGGTGTGTACTTAGGAATTTTGTGCTTAAAAATTCGAACCTATTAAGTGAGAATAAATTTGTAAATGTTATGAACTTCAGAAAACTATGGGTAGGACAACTACGTTACTATTATACATGTATCTGACTGACGTTTATGTTAGTTGTCTATGCTAAATTTGGGGTAATAATCCTTGCTATCCTGTCATGACACAAGCGGGAGAGAAAATGTCAATGAAAATAATACGCCTATAAGGAACCTAGGGATGCATTGCCTGCGAGTTTTCTATTTAATCGATGAGACGATTATTTAGTGACTTGTCTAGAAACCTTATTAACGTCTATGTGAATTTTTCCTAATGTTTGAACAGACTAATACGCTGACTACGTATTCCGTGAACTACTATACATAACTTGTTCGTTCTTGTAAATTATTTACTGTTAACAGACATTATCATAAATGTATCTGTGCATGTCTGTTCCCCTTATCTGTAATCTGTGCGTTGTCTGTTTGATTCGTATTTAAACATTTTAAATAGGCTCTTACTATCTGCGTCTATTCAACTACCATATTTACATGCTTAGTCAGCCTGCTCAAATAAAAGTTTGAAATATACGCGTGCTCACTACAGTTCGAGTTCCACTTAATACTTTATTCACCAGGCACAGATGACTCACCTGCATCCCTTTTTAAGGATAGTAGCGACCTGGCCATGAGTCTGACTGAGCTGTATGCAAAAGTTTAGAAAGCCGTCTTTCGAAACCCTGGAATGCGTCGATAGTCGTCTCAATATTTAAAAGGGGACTATTTGACTTGTGCAACGTTTATCGAGGAATAAGATTACTTCCGATTGCGTCCAAATTATTGACTTCCGTCATATTTCATATATTGTTCGAAACTTGAGAAACACTGACTCGCGAGAAGCAAGCTAGATTTTGTTCCAGTCGAGGATATATTGATTATATTTCCACTATTTGTAAAATGTTAGAACAACGCCATACTTATCACAGGTCAACAATCGTAGTGTTTTTTGACATCAGGACTGTTCCCTGGGATTGTGTATTGAAGGAAGATGTGCCCTGTAAAAAAACACCTTAGAGTATGGGCATAATACCAACTCTCCCCACTGTTTCATTCAAGTAGTGAGGTTAGGCATGGTTGCCTAATCTCACCATTCCTCTTCAACTTGGTCATCGATGACGTGATGAATACACCTATGATGGATGTAAATAACGGTGGTGCGGATCTGTCGTCTAGAGAAAAACCTGTCGACCTTGAATATGCAGATGACATCGTCTTACGGTACGACGATATCCAAGTCATGAAATACGTACTTATTTAGTTGGCAATCAGAGTCCGTAAGTATGGCATGTTCTTTCTACCTTCTAAGTGCACAGTACTTTTACACGACTAGCAAGACCCTGTACATGCACTTACCACTGCTAGTAAGCAGATAGATTTATGCCAACCTGGGCAATCTCTGGCTCCTTCCTGATGTCAGGTTGCCAGTTGAGGGTCAGATCCATAATGTGTCGGTGAGAGCAGTTTTGCTCTATGCTTGTGAAACCTGGTCTCTTCGAGTTGAGGATGTTAGACGACTCTCTCTCTCTGATTCATCATCGTTGTCTCCGAAGGATTGTTGACATCTAGTGGCAACATCACGTTGATAACGCAGAGGTTGGACAACGCATGTTCGGGGCACAGCGGTGAAAATTCAATTGGTCACCATTTTGAAACACTGACTTCGATGACTTGGACATGTTCTACGAATGTCGTCCCACAGAATTCCACGTCGTGCATTATCTGCCGACGCTGGGACTGGTTGGAAAGAGCGGAGGTGGTCAGTGCATGACATGGTGTCGTGGTATGAAAGAAAGCTGCACAACACTGGTTTCTGTTGATCCTGTACGAATTCCTCCATGGTTAGGGTGCAGCACAGTGGCTTCAGACGTTTCCATGAATGGCTTAGAATAGAAACCAGTGGAGACCCTGCTGTAAATTTATATTACTTTTTATATAAATATGAACGTAAATTCTTTAACTGAATGAATTTTTCTGGTTACATTTTTTCTAACTGAACTGTTTCTCCTACCATTATTATTATTTCACTCTCATAGACTTATTTCTATCCATTGGTGTTTCTTTATTATGCTTTCCTTTATTTCTTTACAATCTCACTTTCTTTGTGTGGCGCATGTATATTTGGTTCCCTCTTGTACCGGTGTTTATGTGTTCAAATAATAATAATAACAATATTCGACTTCAACGTTTTGTTAATTTAATTAGTTGACAGGAGATATACGAAGTTAGATAGGACGCATATATTTCATTCACTGTCATCGTTATTAATGGAATCAACTTGAGGGCTAGCGTATGCCTCGGAGTGATTTACTCAGTGAGGACTATAGAAGTAAATTTTTCATTCTAATTTCAGATATCAGTGACTGTCCAACATGTAGTAATAAATACCAAGAAATATGTTATCACTTTTTCTGTTAAAAATAACGTTCTTGTAACGAATTTTAACGTTAATAATCAATGAATTATTGCGTTATCCCGTTGGTTTAACTATGAGATTATATTTATAATAATAAATCCACTTCAGGCTAGTGATTTCAAAAGCAAGATTAGTGACTAAGACTATTGTTCTAACTTCAGTGAGACTATACGTTCATTTCGGAGACAGTTCTTAATCACATTTTATCATCAACTACCCTTCAGAACGCTGAGAAACTGCTATTGCCGTTTAATGTGAGACTAGACTACTGGTCGATTCAATGGACTTAAAACATCTGGATGTTTCGTACGATACATAATATTCTCTTGAATTTTTGTGTTAGTACTCTGATTTCCAAAAGATTAAAATACTCCATCATACTACGAATCCTTGGTACTTGTCAACGATATATAATTGTGCTGATTTTATTCTGTGCAGAATTTATGGACAGGTTCAATTGATAATCTGGTTTTGATATCAGTTTGTCTTAAGATCTCTATTGAATTAATACAATAGTCAACGACTAAGCTGAAGAAGCACTTACTAGCTGGTCGGTTGTTGTAAAAATTTCTTATTTTAAAGAATTGATATGTGAATCATGTCACTAGAAGTTAAGAATCACAACATTTAAGAAAACCAACCAACAAAAAAGAAAAATATGTTTGCATATATCGTTTACATTCTTTACATTATCAATTAGTTAGCCAGGTTCAAGAGCCACCGCAGCCTCAGATTTTACAACACCCCATAATCCTTCCTTTATATAATGCTGTATTAGTTTCAACTGTTGTCTGTCAATCAAATTTTGGAATGATTTACATTCACTACAACTCCATACTTTGTATGTCTTCAGCATATTGTTCATAATGTCTAATTTGGCTTGCACAAGTTGTATTTTATCGGGAAATCCGAGTTCCGTTTGACGATTAAGCAAATATTCGAAAAATCCGGGTTGTCGTGTTATTTGTCGAACTCCCCAGGGCTGTTTTACACAAAGAAAAAGGTGACAGGTATGCAAGGCATTACAAGATGAGTAATTTAAGTTTGTATCCGTATTTATAACTTAAAGAGCGAATGCTATGAAAGTATTGCCCACTCCACGTTTTTTTCCCGATATATTTATCTTTGACATGACCCATCATTTCTGCGAGAGATTCTTAGATCTACGGTGTGGAACATATATTCTCTTATGTTCCAATGTAAATCGGATACTGGAATGGACTTAGTTGTAAGTTTCAAGTATTTGGCTTACATGATTTATGCCGTTGAACAACACGAAAGTATCGTCAACGCACTTTACACAAAGTACAATCTCGCTGATAGAGGACATTAACTTTGGACCTTATACATTTAAAATGAATATATCAGCTACGACTGGTCCTGAAGGGATTTCCATAGCCAAACCGTCTGCTTGACAGTATAACTTACCATTAAATTGGGACTGAACATTTTCTGTGCATAGATATAGTATATGTCTAAATTGCATCCGCGGTATGGATATGTGTTGTGAGTGTTGGCTGATAATATCAATTGTTTTTTTCAAAGGGATAATGGCAAACAGTGAAGATATTTTGAATGAAACCATAAGTTTATTTGATATATTTATTTTTTCAATTATTGCAAACTCAAACGTATCCCTTAAACTGTATACAGCCAACTTCTTATAAGTTGGTTCAAGTTTGCTAGCTAACCATCGGGTCAATTTATGACAAAGAATTAATTATAGAAACAGGTGATACACCATATTCATGCGATTTGGCTTGACTATACCTGCATGTCAAGCGTGAGTCACGTGATCATGACTAAAATCAAAGACTTAAGATAGCTTGGAAGGACATATTTTCTGCTGCTAAATTGTTTCTGTTGCATAGAATGCGATGTCCAACAACAAAAACTTAGGTAGATAGATAGCTAGCACGTATCACCTTTAACTGGTTATATCAATTCACATGTACTTGTAAAAAACAGGAAGAAAGACAGGCATCTACACGTTGAATTGAATATGCTCCAAAGAACCTTTAGCTCAAAGGAAAATATTTGCTTCGTAGTTCTATAGTACTACATCTAATGAAAACGGGATATGAAGTGGATGCAATTAGAGCATTCGAAATAATCATTAGGTTCTCTAATTCTATATAATCAAAATTTGAGGGAGCCATAGCAACTAAAAGGCTTAAATCTAGCCTATGTGCTCAAATAGAGTAAGTGAATAAACTAAGTAGCCAAAGAATTTCGACCTCTCTTTTTAATCTTATCCAATTTATTATAATGATAAACTAGTGAGTTCAGGCTTTTCTCAGCTTAGTTTATTTCTTTCTAAACCTTTTAGATACGTTGTTACATTATGAAAATTATCTTAGAATATTCTAGAACTGTTACATTTAGCATTAGAAAAATCCTGTTAAAACTTTATTCCTAACCATATTAACATTCATATCCTATGCATCTTGTTACTTACTGTTGGACAATTCATTTTCAAACCTAAAATTATGTTAATAGTTTAAAGTAATCAAACTTGATAACTTGTATTTAGTTAAAGAGAAAACAACGAAATACAATGGATTCACCCTATTCTTCAGTCAGTTTCGTTATTTTATTTAAACACGATAAATTTAAATAGAGCAAGAACAACGGACGTAACATAATTACCTGAATTCTTTTTATTTCATGGTTTCCCAACAGTTGTCTATAACCTAAACACAATAGTATTATTCATTAAAAATTAGTCTACATACTTAAAATCACAATATTGGAAATGTTCTTATGGATAAGGATTAATAAAACGGTAATAAATATGAAGGAATTATAAAATTTATTCAAATGGTAGAATATTTATATTAAATGACATAAACCAAACTTATTCAAAAAGATACTGTTGTCATCTTTGTTTTGTTCCGGTGATCTTTTCTCTTAGTTAAAAATTAATTCAAATAACACATAGTTTCAATGAATTAAATTAAAGAGGATTCAACGAAGAGAATTTCCTTCCCAATGAAATAATTTTATAGGCATATATTTACCACATAACTATGAATACGAATGTATAGTTTAAGTACATGATTTTGTCAAAAAGAAAATTTTCTTCGCTAAATTCTGTTTGTTTTTGTTTAGTTTTGTCTTTCTTTCTTTTCATACTTTAAGTTTTATCTGAGATTCAAACATTTTTATCTTATAGTCAATCCATTCTTTCGTGTTGTGATTACGCAACTTTGAGTGTCAATCTTTTCTTCTACAATTTTCATATTATTTGCCGTACAAATATCCTACCATTTGAATAAATTTTATAATTCCTTCATATTTATTACCGTTTTATTAATCCTTATCCACAAAAACATTTCCAATATTGTGATTCTAAGTATGTAGACTGATTTTTAATGAATAATACTATTGTATCATAGGGGATTTTGTGGAGATTGTAGTAATTTCAACAGTTGAGATCATGAGTCGATTGAGGAGTCCCACAATAGGACGAAACGGCCGTCCAGTGCTTCCAGATTTTTCATGGTGGTCTAGCTTCAATCGACTCATGATCTCAACTGTTGAAATTAGTGCTATTGTGTTTATCATTTCTATATACCATTCGTATTCTGTTCTGTTTACTGTATTTATTGTTTTTCGGATGTGGACACCCTGATTTGTATTTACGTCAGTCAGTCGGTAACAAAGTAGAACTTCGTACGTACGTACATCAGTTCGAGTTGCCACACCACATTAGCACAGAGATGCAATGGTCGATTCAAATCCCGTAGTGGAAGAGGTAATAAGAGTATAAGCAGTAATCGGGAAGATTAATGTTTGGAGATGTTATTTGAAGAGTATAATACAGTGAAATAAATTTGGGAAGAGAAAAAAAGACAAGAAGGAATAAAGAGATCAAAGTTTGGGAGAACACAAAGAGTGTATGCACCTGCGCCATTGCAAACAATTTTGAGCCATGTCACGGATATTTCGCCTACGCCATAAATGACGCGAGTTGGTAAAAGCTAGTCGAGCCTTCTGTATCCGTGCTGAGATTTCGTCACACACACCAGACCACAAGGGCTGATGAGACTTCCAAGATAAGTGAAGCGATCGACACGCTCAATTACTTCACTCCCTATCATTAGTTGGGGTGTCGATGCAACCCAATCCTGAAGCAACATTTTGCATTTCGAGGGAGAGAATCGCATCTAGAACATGCTTGCATTGTTGCTTAGAGTGGTCAGAAGACTCTGCATTTTGTCAGCGTCTTCACCAAATAAAACTATGTCATCAGCATATTCTAAGTCAACAAGTGAACCTCCCGGTAGAAGTTCAACCCCTGGAAATTTAGACGAGGTAAGTGTTATTACTAAAAGTACGTCAACGAAAAAGTTGAACAAAAATGGAGAGAGTGGACAGCCCTGACGAACACCACCTGAGGTAGTCAATTCTGATGACAGTTCACCATAAGCTCTCACTCTACCAGTTGTGTTCGAGTAGAGAGCCTGTATAAGGTTAATGTACTTCTTTGGTACTCCTTTCAGTGACAAACACTGCCATAGAACCTCACGATCAATAGAGTCGAATGCCACCTTAAGGTCGAGAAATACTACCATTGTGGGGCGTCTGAATGTGTGTCTGTGTTCTAGAACCTGACGTAGTGTGAATATCTGATCTATACAACCACGTCCAGGTCGAAAACCAGCCTGGTTTTCTCTAGTCTGCTCTTCACGAGCTTTAGTTAGGCGTCGAAGTATTATTGAGGCTAATATTTTAGACACTATATTAGTCAAACTGATTCCTCTGTGATTGTCACAAGAGGACTTTTGTCCTTTCTTATAGACTGACACAATCAGTGATTGAGACCAGTCAGATGGGATTACGTCCAGTTCCCAAATTCTACCTAAGACCTCGGTTAATCTCATTGCTAATACTGGACCACCATCCTTAAAAATCTCAGGAGTAAACCTGTCAGGGCCTGCTGCTCTCCCTCGCTTCAGATTTCCTATGGCTTTTTCAACTTCGTAAAGGGACGGAGGACTTACATTAACTTGCCATTCAGGTTGACTGGAGATCGTGGGAAACCGAAGTGTGGCTGAAGGCCAGTTGAACTGATCCCTAAAGTGTTCTGCCCATCGATCCAATCTCCTAGATTGAGAATGAATAATATGTCCATCTTTCTCTGAGATTGTTTCGCTAACGGTCGGGTTCCTAATTCCGGTTTCCTTAACGAGTCTAAACAGTTGTCTGCTATTACCTATTGCCGCTGCCTTTTCCATCTCTCTTGCTTTCGCTACCCACCACTGTTGACGATCATTGCGTAGACTTCTTGTCAGCTTGCGCTTAAGCTGACTCCGCTCTTCATTATGTTCAGAGCCAGGCGGAATGTGTTTCCGAGCATTTATTAGTGAGATAGATGCTGCTGAGATCCAGTGTTGCTCCCTAACCTTCTGGTTTACCTTACTAGCAGATATCACTGCTGTTTCCACAGCTTTTCGGATATCATTCCATGCTGCATCGGGGTGGGCATCACATACATGGCTGCCTAACTGTTTTCCTAGTTGTTCCTGACTATCATTAAGTAGGACCCTAAGAGGTTTCCTTGCTGCGTCTTTCCTACGTCCAGTAAGATGCTGACAAATACACGCTCGCACTAGAGCATGATCTGAATCTAGGCATGTGCTCCAAAATGAGCGACAGTCATCTATCGAGCCCCTCCATCGGTGGCTGATAGCGATGTGATCTATTTGGGTCCAACGTTGGGACGAATTAGGGGGTCGCCATGTTAAAAGATGTTTATCCTTATGCTTAAAGTTAGTATTTGCAAGGAACAGGCGGTTATCTGAGCATAGATGCAACAGACGGTCGCCATTATCTGTTCTTTGAGCCACGACACCATAGGATCCACCTAGGTGTCTTTCCTTATCGCTTAGTTTACCTACTTGAGCATTAAAGTCACCGGCCACTATTACTACATCCGAGCGCTTAGCTTTTCGGAGAAGGTCCGAATGCTTTCTGTAAAACTCATCTTTTACATCATCTGAGCTGCAGTCAGTGGGAGAATAGGCAGAGACGACGAAGAGGCAACGACGAGTGTCCCTATCTTTCCGGATTTTTACTGTTCCGTTCAGTCGGACAGCGCACAAACGACTGTCTACTGGGATCCACTCTAAGAGAGCTAGTTCTGCCCTAGGACTCAATGCCGGCGAGGCCACGGGAAGCAGAATCAGGGCTTCCAGATACACGAAGCGTAAATCGAGTCGGTTCTTTATTTTGACATGGTGATGTCAAATGAATGACGCTACTCGGATCCTGTATGCACGTTTCGGAGACGCAGCACACATCGATGGCGCGAGATTCTAAAGTTTTAGCTAAGGAAGCCTGCTGTCCTATTTGGCAAAGTGTTCGTACGTTAAAAGCTCCTACGTGTAGTTTAGAGAGTGGTTTCAGGAGACCAGGAATGGCGTTCCACGTACTCGAATCGTTTGCCCTAGCGGTGCGAGGTGATAAAGAGACGTGAGGAGGGTTAGTCGGGAGGATAAGAGAGGTATTAGGGGGTGTAGGAAGGATTTGAATGTGACCACCTTGGTCTCTTGTGCTGTTACGGGTATGAGGGCTGATATCACTTCCCGGCTGCCCACACCGTGGAAGGGTATTTCTTGAGGAACCTGAAAAGGAAATTGGATTAGTGTTGGTCTTGACGACCTGGGAGTGTGACCGCAGAGCCCAAGGGACAACTGCTTGAGGCCGGTCGCGCACGGCCTTTTTGTGGAAGGTTTTTAATGTGTTAGCTCCGTTCTTCAAGGGGCCTTACCGCCGGAGACGGAAATCCGTGAGGTAAGGTGAGGTGTGACATTTTTAGGGTCGACCTTTTCTAACCCCGCCCCTCCTTGTGAGAAGGCAGCATCGCTGTCATGCTGGTTGTCCCAGGGAAACACCTTACTGCTGTCACACCTCTCTACAGTCAGCAGTACGACTTCGCCCTCAGACCTTGAGTTGCTGCCTTTTAGTCTTACCGTTCGCCAATCGACCTGCCTGGCATGGTAGAACCTGCAGGAACATATGTTCCAGCCAATATAGCTCGGTTGGGTCATCACGATAGGCAAGCCCGACCACCGCGTCAAGGTAGCAGCTCAGGGGTAGATCTTTATAATAGTCTTACCCTCAAAAAAGCTAATGTATATATTTATATTAACTAAGCCCTTGAACTGACCTATTTGGCAGAATTATTCTAGTCCGAAATAATTCGACTATGTATTCATAAATATCATCATGTTTGCATAAATTGCCATATATGATTGATTGAATGTGGCAGCCTATGTATTTCTCTAACACTCTTAAACGCTTGATGACTCATCTGCATACGCATACATATTTGCTTGTTAAGCTATTTTCACTAAATCATTTTTTTTACTTTGTGCTTTGTCGCTTAATTTGAACTGCGTTTAGAATAGCCTGTTCCGATCACTTTGTTTTGGCTTCTGGAAACTATACACTGTTGGGAGTGATAGTAATAACAGTTCTCCAGTCGATTGATATACGAAATATAGGAGTACCGATATGTAGGTACAATAAGAGCATTTACTATCTTGTTTTTATTATTTGTATTTGTTATAGACTGAATTAGATGGTCGGTGATAAAAAAAGACAATACCCTGAATTTAGGCTTTTATACTCTCCGTAAACTCTAAACTTCAGGGATAAAAGTTCACTCAACGATGCAAGTGACTGGTGTGGAATAGTAAGATACTGGCTGAGGCAGTAGGTAACAGATTCCAACTCCATTTATTCTACTTTGGTGGTTCATGACTGAATGCAAAAACACGTACATGATCACAATAAATTAAATCAATACATAGAAATGAATACGCAGAAAAATGAAGTAAACAATAAATTGCAAAACCTACCTGCGTTACAATCGCATCGATAGCTTTGAATACTGCTACACGCACCTCAAAAAATGGTTGAGTTGCAAGAGAATAAAGGCGTTTCAGTAGTGGAGCAATTAATAATTCTTTATCGTCAACTGAATTGGAATTTGTTGTATCAATGCTTTTTTGACAAGAAATTATTGCCCAGTTAAGAGAAAGTACGGCATCGGCAAATAAGCCTTCTGAATCTATCCCATCAGGTCGACGTAGAAGAAAACTATAGCATTCGACAGCTCTAGTGCATATCTCAGTTGGTGAATTGGAAATAAATACAAAAAGCTTGTTCAAAACACTATCAAATGAGCCACCTTTAGCTAAAATCAAAATTGGACGAATCTTAAATGTTTGATCAATAAACAGATGAGCATAGTAAATGCACTGTGTTTACAAATAGATAATTTATTGTCACACCCCTAGTTCACGTACTAATGACCAAATTATCACTTAACTTATCTACGATATGGTGTAAAAATGTTTTAATTTTTTCTCAGACAAAAACTATGGTAGTGAGTAATTGTTTTTTAAAAATGACGTTTCTAGCTCAAACGTTTTGACTAGAATAACCTGAGAAGAATTTACCATATGGTCCATTGATTTCTAAAGTTTAAATACTTAGACTATTGGCACGAAATCAGTCATCATGAATGATACTTACGATTGTAGAATAATAGAAATTAGTATTCAAGTTGGAAAGGAACCCCAGTGGGTAATGGTATTCTCAATGTGACATTAACCCTGTATTTATCTCTCTAGGTATTAAAGTGAAAATATTTCGAATGGATTTGATTCGAATTATTAAAAATGTTTGTAATTTAAATATGTGATACAAAGGGGTATTTATTAAAAAATTTACTTACAGTAACGAAAGATACAGTATTGAATAGAGCGACTACTATCATAACTGACACGAAAACAAATAGTACTGTACAGTAAAACTAACAGTTAACGTCGAGGAATGAAGTGAGACAAAATAACTTTAATCATACTCACCAAATAACTTATCTAAGGTAATCCGACCTGTTGGTGTAGTCGCTATACAGCTAATAGATTCAAATGCCACCATAGAAATACTGATAGCATTATTATCGACCGCATCTGATAATACATTCTTAAACCTTCCATCGCTTTTTGACCCTAACCAATGGTCAGGGTCTCGCTTAGCAAGACTACCAAAAAATCCAATGTATCCTTTTAAGAAAAATGAAATTGATAGACTATTACTTTCAAAAAAAAGCGAATAATCACAAATTACATGAGACCATAAACGATAATATATAGTACAGGTTGCATAAAAGACGGTGATAGGGATTCGTATAAAACATTTACGTATGATATAAAATAAGGATTATATTATCTAAAAGTTTAAATATGGTTCGTGTTGCCTGGATGATATTTTGTTAAGACTGCATCTTACAGCCACAAAAAGGCAGATCAAATTACTGCACAGCATACTCGCCTTTTTGTTGGGATACAAAGATTCCGCCTGAGCCACAAGTGGAACATGTTGAAAACCAAGCTAGTTTCTGAATTTATGCATACATTTTGTCAGACACCAACCCACTAGACGTGATAAGACTTCCAAAATAATAATAAATGACAATTTTATACCCTATGATCAATCTAGGAGATGACATAAACCAGTCCTGAAGCAATATTTTGAACTAAGAGGAAGAGAAACGCGCCCCGAACATGTTCGGATTATATCTCAGGACAATGAGAAGGCTACAGTTTATCAGTAACCTTACCAAATACGAATATCCTATTTGCGTATTCTAAGCCGATCAAGGATGAATCCGTGAAAAGTTAGACGAAGAAAGTGTTATCCCCGAAGGATTGCTTATGAAGAAGTTAAATAAAAATTTTGATAGTGAATTATCCTATCGAACACCACTTAAAGTTACAATTCGAAAGATATCTCTAAATCGACCAACGGTCTTAGTATATATATACAATCTCTATTTTATGTATGTCTTCATAAATCAGTTGGTGAAGACATGAACCTTTATCTCTTATGGATGCAGCGAAACAAAACGCCAAAAGGTGTTACTAACAGTAGGACAGAAGTAGGTTGAAAATGCGTTAGTGGTTTCTATAACAAGCCATTGCATCAAAACATGATGTCATCAACTGTTGATATAGGTCTCATCGAGAGGTTTAGATTCCAAGTGAAGTATTCAAAACCTAAGGTTGGTGGCTTTTAGTCAAACGACCGTAAATCAGCCAGCTACAGTTATTATTCTATATATCCTGAACATAATATTATTAGACAAGTTTTGACCATAATTTTATTTGTCTCTTCTAACGTTTGTTCTTGTTGTTCTTCATTTTACTGTTTGTTAGCACTAAGATTTTCATTTCGTTTGTTTGTTTATTTATATTGAACTGATTTAAGGTGTGATAACTCACACTGATACATATTTTCTCTACGTTTAACGTCTCACATGTGTATGCTTGTCTGTAGGATCTCTTACTATCTTTTTCCTAACACTATTCGTCTTTCCACGACTTATGTAGGTGGATTAGATAGGTTATAATCGCACTAATAAATTTTGGGCAGTGTGGTCACGATAAGAGAACTATTTGCGTTCTTGCAAAATCTAGAGGTAAATGAATAGGATTCTGTATCGCAAATGCGTTGATTTTAATACTGATGAAGCAATTAATTATTTTAATAGTTGTGTTGATTATGTAGAAATTAAATATACTCTCCAAGTTCTTGGATTTTCCGAAAAAACCATATATTCAAACTCACCTGGAAGTAGTAAATCACCTAATGGATCCGAAGCAGAAGAATACAAATCGTCCAATAATTTAGAGAACACACCTTGCCTATTCAGAAAGTGATAACCCGTCTCTGAAACAGTCAACAATTTCCCTAATTCTAACCAGTTCAAGCGGACTAGAGGATCTCTTGAATTTAAACCATCCAAAATAGGTTGAAACAAACCAGAATTTTCAACGTCTTTGAACACTTCAGGTTGTTTGGAAACTAGATGTACAGCAAACTTAATTCACAAAATAAAGTTCTTGACAACTTACTTCAGAAACTCTTATTAAATGCTCAGATTTAGAACACAGTGGATTTAATGCACCGACTACATTGGGCCCTAAAACGCTTTTTAAACCAAGAGGACATTTTGTAGCTAAAGTATACGATTAGAATGTTTCATTTTTTGTTGTTACCCAAAGTTATCAGGAAATTTTGGGCTTCCATAGATAAAGAAAGTTTTTCATGAAGAACTAATCTAGTTATTGACTTTAAAATGCATTCCGGTAGATTGTCTACTGAACAACTAGGTTCAACTACACCAGCTCTTAGCTTCATACATAACTGAAATGTAAGGATGCGATTACCCTTTTCAAAATAAACTCAATCAAATCGAGTTTCGTCGATTCAAGTATTAAAAGCAGCTCTTCTTGGTGAGATTGAACAAAGTCAAATAAAGGTATGAGGGAGAATACAGTGGAAGGTAATTTAATCGCAATTTGAGCAGACTGTCTAAAAGCAAAACAATTATTGCGTAGAAGATTAAACAAACTTGTCATGTAAATCAATCGACATCAATGCTTTTAAAATATCACATTTTTGAAAAACAGAACTCAGTTCTGTAGTTGTCAGATTAGATAGAATCAAACAAATGCGTTCATAATCCTCCATATTTCCATTTCCATTCGAAACTTTTGAAACAAGATCAAATACTTCATCAGGAATTGCCATTATGGAACCAACTGTCTTCTCTGAAATGAGAGAGCACAGTATACAATGACTTTTCTTTATATCAAACGTAATAAAAAGTAAAGGATTCGAAAAATACACCCTACGCTACAAACTGCCAATCAACATCAAGATGTACATGAATAAAACTACTATACATACTTCATACTTTATTGTGACCTGGTTTTTATATTTTTATTTCCTTATTTTCAACTTACTTTTATTGATAGTCACTTCTTTGTTTATTTTCCCTTAATTTGCTGAAGGAAATTGTAGTAATTCGTACCAGTATACTACTGAATCAGGTCAAAAGTCACGATTAATCAGATAAGCATGAATCACAAAAATTTATGACTGATCAAGAACACTTCATGTGGATTAGAGTAACATTACTTGAGCTGAACGGGTACAATTCAAGTGATCAAAAAATCGTTTGACACATTAAAAAGTCAGTAAGGTATGACATAGGATTATATTAAAGAAACGTCAGACAGTTGATTATTGCATAGAATTTGATATAAATTGTGACATATTTGGGATATGAAGAAGATGAATATCAAATGTATCATGATTCTTTCCCATATAGCAAACCTTTTTTGGTAACAACGATGGCACTGAAGTTGCACAATATTAAATGGCGATTAGTAATCATATGTAATGTTGTTTGAACCATATACATGCAGTTTCCTCACAAAAAAGATGGAAAATAGTATATACAGTCATTCTTGACGGGGATTGTCAAAACGTTTGAGCACTTCTGTAATAGCTGCTTTAATAACATGCTCAAATTCGCTACGTACTGAAGGAGTATAACAAGTAAGATAGAAAATGACTGTAATCTACACACTTATTAAATTATCCGAACAGAGGATAAAGGAGAGGAATTGAGAGTTCTCAACTAGAATACCCAAAAGAATGTAAGCGAAAACACAAATAAATAAAAACATAATCGCGATATCGAACTACAAACAGCGTCGGGTCATATGAAAACAGGAAAAGATATAAAAAGTGTGAATGGGTTGATCAAACACTAAACCAGAAAATATCTTTAGATGTTAGTACGTTAAGCTCTAAAAAAGCTGAATCTGCAGGATGTGAGTACGCTAGTTAGTTAGTGAACATATATATATTTGTGTACTCAGTTGAATCAACTGTGGTACATGGCACTTACCTCCAAATGCCCTGATACGACCGAGGGTGAAGAGAGTCTGCTCTCCTTCTCGAAATGTACTCACATAGCCACGTGCATACAGCAACTGTCAGGGAAGTCCTACTTATTGCCTTCTCGAAGCGAGGTTGTTGTTTACAAAATCAAGAGAACGAAAAGCGAATGTCCGGCATTTTCACCAGATTAGTGGACACGCAGGATCCACCTAGCGGAGTTGGAAAACCCTGATTCCAAACCAATGGTACACAAGGGCTCCGGGATCATAAGGAAACAAACGGCGTATGAGACTATTGTTGGTCACTGGCCACCATGGGACTGCATCGCTTAACGTTGCTCCACTGCCTTGTGGATTAAACCTTTAGGTCAAAGGCTCGGGAAGTGGTTCCCTGAAATACCCACTGCTTCAGTTTGGGGGCCCGGGCAGTATCACAGTCGTCACACAAATCAATGATAACTACGATTGAAAAATTTCCTATTGCTTCAACGCTCGCTCGGACAAATCCTATTCACGATCATATGATAACGTTCGTATTTATTTCTTTTATACTAAGGCATTTATGTATTCCCCTTTATTTTCGTTTTGCGAATTTTATTTTTAACCGATACAGCAGCTCACCCATGGTGAAAACCCTGTCCTAACTAAACAATCTCAAGTCGTCGACTAGTCGGAAGTTGAATACTACCAACGAATACGAATACTGAAACCACGTGCACCATTCAAACTGGCTGCCTTCAACGTTCGCACACTTATGCAGGTTGGACAACAGATAGAGCTGCCTATATCTTCAGAAAGTCTTAATATCGACGTCTGCCCTCTATCCGAGACCCGTATTCAAGACTCTGGTGAAGTACTACAAATTCGCTCTTCATCTGTCGCTTCGAAAAGCTTGTTTTACGTGCGCTTATCCGGGGACCCTGTGGCATCTTCGTCTGGTCTTGCTGGCGTTGGTGTCGTGCTAAGCGCTGGAGCTGAGGCAGCACTAATCGATTGGATACCCATTAACAGTCGGTGCTAATGAGGTGGAAGCAGCAGCCGCATCTGCTAACTACCGGAAGCTCTTACAACTCATCCGAGCCACTGGCAGCAAGAAGTCTGGTGTGAGCGAAATAATCTGTGAGGATGACGGGATGCCAATCAATAACATCCATCGTCTTGGAAGATGGACAGAATTCTTCGAAGGACAGTTCAACTGGCCTGCTGCTCCGGCAACATCGGTCAGACTGTCCTGCCCTCCATGGCCGGTGACGACTGATCCACCATATGAGACGGAAGTCCTCAAGGAACTACAACCAATAAAACGCTATAAATCACCAGGCCCAGATGACTTACCTCAGGCTCTTTTTAAGATCGTGGTGACTTCTTGACTAAGGAATTGACGACGTTGTTTACAAAGGTCTGGGAACTAGAGAGTGTACCAACTTCATGGAATGAGTCGATAGTTGTCCCTATCTTTAAAAACGGTTCACGTCGTTCCTGTAACAACTATCAGGGGACAAGTCTACTCCCGATCGTGTCAAAATTATTGACTTCCATCCTGCTTCGTAGGTTTTTCAAAACCCGAGAAAGATTGATTCGCGAGGAGCAGGCTGGTTTCTGTCCCGGTCGAGGATATATTGATCATATCTTCAACCTCCGCCAAATGTTAGAACACCGTCATAGTTATCAAAGGCCAACAATCGTAGTGTTTCTTGACATCAGGGCTGCGTTCGATTCGTTGGATAGGACTGTCCTCTGAGATTGTCTATTGAAGAAGGGTTTACCTGAGAAGTTTATTAACATCCTAAAGGCTTTATATACAAACACCTCAGGCAGACTGAAGACATACACCCACCTTTCTCCATTGTTCCATTCAAGCAGTGGGGTTAGACAGAGTTCCCCAGTCTCACCATTCCTCTTCAACTTTGCCATCGATGACATTCTAGAAACAGCTCTGATGGACGTAAGTAATAGTGGTGTGGATCTGTTGCCTGGAGAAAGACTTCTCGACCTTGAGTATGCGGACGATATTGTCTTACTGTGCGATAATGCCCAAGCCATGCAATCCGCACTTAATTCTACCTGCTTCGGTTTGGGCACCCGGGCAGTATCACAGCCCACACACAAATGATGAACTCTATGTCCATGGAAATTAATTTTGTCGCTTTGAAAAACAATCAATTGATTCAAATTATGATCACTACAATTATTGTCATTATTAATACTAATATTATTATTGCTACTATTATTGTCATTATTGTTATTATTATCATTATTATTATTTTCCACATTATTCACCTTCTTTTATACTTATACAGCGGCTCGTCTTTGGTGGAATTCCGACGGTATCTAAACGTTCTCGAGTCACTGTCCGGTTGAAAATTGCATGTTACCACCGAATACGAGGACTGAAGCAGATTTTCTGAAACCACGTGCACCATTCAAACTGGCTGCCTTCAACGTTCGCACACTTATGCAGGTTGGACAACAGATAGAGCTGCCTATATCTTCAGAAAGTCTTAATATCGACGTCTGCCCTCTATCCGAGACCCGTATTCAAGACTCTGGTGAAGTACTACAAATTCGCTCTTCATCTGTCGCTTCGAAAAGCTTGTTTTACGTGCGCTTATCCGGGGACCCTGTGGCATCTTCGTCTGGTCTTGCTGGCGTTGGTGTCGCACTAAGCGCTAGAGCTGAGGCAGCACTAGTCGATTGGATCCCCATTAACAGTCGGTTATGTGCTGTTAGATTAGAAAGTTCCATCAAAGTGAGAAGAAATCGGCGTGAGAAACGATGTCTTTTCGTCATCTCCGCCTATGCCCCGACAGATTGCAGCCCGGATGCAATCAAGGATGAGTTTTACCACCAGTTATCAGTTCTTCTCCAGAAAGTGCGTTCGACAGATATTGTAGTACTAGCCGGAGACTTGAATGCTCAGGTCGGGCGTCTAGGCACAGAAGAGAGTCGTTTAGGTGGCCGATGGGGACTCGTTGGTCGCAGGTCAGATAACGGGGACCGTCTACTGCAACTTTGCACAGACCACAACCTGTTTCTGGCTAGCACTAACTTTCGGCACAGTCATCGCCGATGTGCCACCTGGCGTCCTCCCTCTGCATCTCAAGCCTGGACTCAGATTGATCACATCGCGATCAGCTACCGCTGGCATGGTTGTGTACAAGACTGCCGCTCCTTTTGGAGTACCTATCTGGACTCTGACCATGCCTTGGTCTGCGCCAATCTTGCCTTACTTTTCAGTGGACAACGAAGTGAACGCCATCAACGGATTGATGTTAGCAAGCTGGTTGCAACTTCTGTTGCAAGTAAGTATCGAACCAAGCTAGCCTCTAGGCTAGCTACCACTCCACCGAAAAGTATAGATGAGCATTGGTTGCAATTGCATGACGCCATGAAAATGGCGGGAACAGTCAGTTGTGGGTTTGCGAAACGTCCCGCTTTTAAGCACTGGGTTTCTTCTGGTTCCTTACAACTCATTGAAGCCCGTCGGTCTACTCCGGGTAACCGTGAGTTTGACCATAAACGAAGGATTTTACGTAAGGAAATCGGGCAAAGCTTGCGTAAGGACCGAGAAGCCTGGTGGTCGATGCGTGCTAATGAGCTGGAAGCAGCAGCTGCATCTGGTAACTACCGGAAGCTCTTCCAACTCATCCGAGCCACTGGCAGCAAGAAGTCTGGTGTGAGTGAAACAATCTGCGAGGATGATGGGATGCCAATCACTAACATCCATCGACGTCTTGGACGATGGGCAGAATTTTTCGAAGGGCAGTTCAACTGGCCTGCTGCTCCGGCAACATCGGTCAGACTGTCCTGCCCTCCATGGCCGGTGACGACTGATCCACCAAATGAGGAGGAAGTCCGCAAGGAACTCCAACTCTTGAAGCGTTACAAATCACCTGGCCCAGATGACTTACCTCAGGCTCTTTTTAAGATCGTGGTGACTTCTTGACTAAGGAATTGACGACGTTGTTTACAAAGGTCTGGGAACTAGAGAGTGTACCAACTTCATGGAATGAGTCGATAGTTGTCCCTATCTTTAAAAACGGTTCACGTCGTTCCTGTAACAACTATCAGGGGACAAGTCTACTCCCGATCGTGTCAAAATTATTGACTTCCATCCTGCTTCGTAGGTTTTTCAAAACCCGAGAAAGATTGATTCGCGAGGAGCAGGCTGGTTTTTGTCCCGGTCGAGGATATATTGATCATATCTTCAACCTCCGCCAAATGTTAGAACACCGTCATAGTTATCAAAGGCCAACAATCGTAGTGTTTCTTGACATCAGGGCTGCGTTCGATTCGTTGGATAGGACTGTCCTCTGAGATTGTCTATTGAAGAAGGGTTTACCTGAGAAGTTTATTAACATCCTAAAAGCCCTGTATAAAACACCTCAGGCAGAGTGTTCCATTCGAGCAGTGGGGTTAGGCAGGGTTGCCCAATCTCACCATTCCTCTTCAACTTTGCCATCGATGACATTCTGGAAACAGCTCTGATGAATGTAAGTAATGGTGGTGTGGATCTGTTGCCTGGAGAAAGACTTCTCGACCTTGAGTATGCGGACGATATTGTCTTACTGTGCGATAATGCCCAAGGCATGCAATCCGCACTTAATCAGTTGGCAATCAATGTCCGTAGGTATGG